AGCCTTAGTGAATAGTTTGACAGCGTTGAGGGAATTATTTGTTTAGCAGAGTGATGGCGTTCAGGAAAAAAAATGTTTTTGTGTCTAGTTGTCTTGGGGTGCAGTGCCCTATAGCGTCATTTTGAGGGTGGGAGTTGAAAACAATTTATGTCCAGGATGAGAGGGGTCTGTAGATATTTTCATGGCCCTCTTTTTGACTCGTGCAGCGTACAGGTCCTCAATGGAAGGCAGGTTGGCAGTAATTGTTTTTTCTGCAGTTCTGATTTGATGTCTCATCGTGTTTTAATGCAACTATGATAATTGGTATTATAATTTGGTAATCATGAGAAATATCTTAACACTGCTGCTTTTAAAAATCACCTTACTTGGATAGTTACCCTAGCTACATTAGTTGTGTAAGACACGTGAGTGAATCAAGATCACAATTAAATCCAAAAATTATACAATTGCACCATTAGTGGTACCATATTTGAGCCCTTGTGACAATTTCCGTAGGTATGTTTTGAACTCCATTTGTAAGGAGATTTTCTGGAAAGTGTTGTACAAAACACAGAGGAGGTGATGAGACTACAAAGAGGGAGTGAAGCTCAACTGCCAGTCTTCCTAAATAAGTGTTCTTCTAAAATTACCTGGAGCTGATGTTCCACTGAATAATATTGTATTGTTTCCCTCTAGTGTCTTATTCAAGCAACTGCATAATTCAGTTCAAATTTAGGTCACTTAGCTACTCAGTGTTTCAGAAAAAAATGGAAGCAGTTGTGATTTTATTAGAAGTAGAAACCCATCTTTCCAAACTGAAGAATTCACAGATATCCTGTGAGCTTTTACTCTTACTGCAACCAAACATTATCCTACACCTGATAAATCCCAATTTTCATATCTGATCACCTGCCATGTGATGGTGTATCTTACACATTTAAAAGTCTGAAATCCATCGCTTCTATTTTTCCTGCCTCGTCCCTTGGTTTCTCCTATTATTATTTCACCATATCGTGAAGCAATTTTGTACAGCTCCAGTTAAGGCAGTGATGGTGAACCTTTTAGTCACAGAGTGCCCAAACCGGAAGGTGCACATGTGCGTCCATGCACAGAAGAGCACTGGAAACCCGCCGATCAGCTGGCCTGTGTGCATGCGCTGTGAGAAACCTGATGACCAGTTGGCTGAACTGGGGCGATGGCACGCATGCCCACAGGGAGGACTCTGCGTGCCATAGGTTTGCCATCACGGACTTAAGGCATTTAATTTGTGTTTTCTCTGGCTAAAAATGGTACAAGTGTTTCTAAATCAAAATAAAAAAGGAC